AGTGGAGAAAGAGGTGGAAAGCAGGGAGCAGGACAACATGAGAGCACATGCAGGCCACAACAAGAAAATGTCCCCTAAAAATAAATGAGTAAAAAGAGCATTTAAACTGCTTGTCAAGCAGGCTTCCTGACAAAGCCACCAGAGTGTATTCACAGCCATTTGCATAAATGCTGCCGGTGAGTTCACCATAGCTGCTAGCGCTAATGGTACATAAAGTAATTTAGTCACTTCTCCCGGCGTTCTATGTCAGAATGATGAGCACCAGCATTCTGCCTTGTTGCATATTAGATCATTAGATAATAAAGTGTTAGTGCATGCAAGCTGACAGGGTCTCCACACTCTCACATTGCAAGGCCACGGCATTTTGCCTCAGGGAGAAAAAAAATAGAGAAACTGATGCCACAACTGGCCTTACATTCAAGTAAACACAACCAGAGGCTCGGGAGAACAGTAACAATGACAACACTCTCCAAGCCTTTTATAGATGCCCAGAACATAATCCTCACGACCTTACCCAAATGACAGGAAGATGAGGAAGCATACCAGCTGCAGCATTATGTCATAGTATTGTTGTTCAAGGGCACATAACAACAACCTTGCTATTGTTACTTATCATCGAATCAGAACCAACTCATAGCTGATCCTCCAGTAGGGTTTCAGAGGCACTTAATCACATAGGAGGTTGCCTGTCTCTCTCCTATGGAGCAGCTGGTGAATTTGAACCACGTATCTTTGGATTGCCAGCACAATCTCTTGGCTACTAGGCCACTAGCGATGCCAATTCAGCTCCTTTAAGGAGTCATGCTAAACACTAAGTGAAGTGCTTGGCTGCTGGTCAAACGTTTGGCAGCTCAAATCCACCCAGTGTATTTTTGAGAGAGGCCTCTGGGTGATCTGCTTACATAATCAGAGCTTAGAAAACCCTAAGTACAGGTCTGTTCTGTCACATCAAGTTGCAAATGAGTCAAAGGAAGTTTTCAAACAGTGGAATTCAAGAGCAGTTTCACTCTGAGTTGGGACTGCCTCTTTTTCTCACTGTTCAAATTCAAATTCAACCTGTTGCTTTGAAGTTGCTTCTGACTCACAGTGACTCTGTAATACAGGGGAGAATTGCCCCCATAGGATTTTCATGGCAGTGACCTTATAAAAGCACAAGGCTACACCTGTCTTCCAAGGAGTGCTTGGTGGGATTGAACCACCATCCATTCCCTTAGCAGCCAAACACTTCACCACTGTCCCACCAGTACTCTTTCCTCTCCTTGAGCATCTGCCATCGAGCTTTTTAGCATTGAGAAGCAAGCTCACTAGCCTAAATGCGCTCATAAATAACCAAGCGAGGAAAATCCTAGCATTTATGAGTGAAGACCAACATAATGGAGGGGAGCAATTACCACGAGCTGGGATATGCCAGCTTACTCTCTCCAGATCACACAGAACTCTATGAAGTAAATTTGCCTTCGTCAACTTGAAATACAGGGGCATTTATTTGAGCACAGGGGTCTGTGAGTCTATGGGTCACATGGGGAGATGGTGCCTGAGTGTAAGCCGGGATCTCTGTTTCTACTTAAATGCAGAGAGCTGAGCCACAAATGGGAACTTTCTTCCAACTGTTTGACAAGCAGGATATAAATAGAGATGTGCAGAACAGCTCAAAATAATTCAGGTTACCTATAAATGAGATGGTAAAAAGCCCAAAAACAGAGGTGGGGAAATGAAGACTTCCATACTTCTCAAAAGGTAAAAACATTTATTTGTCTCTCTCTGCAGTAGCCATTGCAGCTAGAGGTGGTGGAATGGTGATACAGATTGGGGTGGGGGGAGGGGATTCTTTAAGTTTTAAACACTGTTTTCAAATACGATATGATTTTTTTTTCTCAATGGCAAGACACTGTCATATCGTCAGATCAACATAAATTATTATCTTAGTCCACTCCCATTCATCACCTGTGAAAGAGCTGAGAAAGTCACTCTGTTGAGTAGGTATTTATGAATCAGCTTGAAGTGTCTAAATGAGTGGGTGGGTTATGTGTGGTTGATTCATTCTACAGAGAAGCAGATATCTTTGTTACTGTCATTACAAAGGACCAGAGTGTTTCTTCATTTACATTCTTCTGGAAAGAATGAAGTTAGGCTTCAGACAAAGTCACGCTTCCTCACTGGAAGAAACAGACTTAGCCACGTCCCCTCAAGGAAGGTAAAGAGCTACAAGTGACCATTCTAACAATAAGTTATATGAGCATTGTGTGTGCTGGTAAGCGAGGTCAATGTGAACGGCATTGCCATGGAATAGAAACTGACTCATAGCTAACCCTCCAGTGCTTTTTCAGAGGCTATAAATTGCAAGGGAGGAGATTGCCCACTTTTCTCCTCCAGAGCAGCTCGTGGATTCTAACCTCATGCCTTTGGGTTGACGGCACAATGTTTCACCCACCGTGCCATCAAAAATCCCTGGTAAATGAGGTAGAAAAACAAAATTTCAGTCTTTGAAATTTGGAATGATGTTCCAAGTAAATATTAAAATATTTTAATTGCAAGTTTAAGGGTGTTATGTGGCATTATATGCCTCTTTATTTGACCCTTTCTTTCAGTGTTTTACAAATATGTAAATAATTACCAATAATTGAGAAAAAAGATATTTTAATATTTACCAAAGTGGAGCATGAACTACCCCCAAACCCAGCCTCTCCTGTCCCCCTGACAACAACTGGCTGAGAGGCAGCCAAGCATGTACTAAGCCAGCTCCCAGCTCCACCCACTTCCCTTATTTACATCATCTGTTCTCACCCAGAACATAGATTATTTTTACACTCTACCAATTATCATCTTAGTTCTGAGATCCCAAAATGTGGAGTGACTTTTTCAAGGTAACACAAAGAATCTGGAGTGACAAGCAAAAGCTGGATTTGGATTTAGAAACAAGGATGGCAAAACTTTCTCTCATATACTTTGAGCATGCTGCTAGGAGGGGCTGTTACATCATGCTTAGGAGGGTGGAGGGTCAGGGGAAGAGGGAAGACCTCAATGAGACAGAACAGAATGACAGTGACAGAAGCAGTGGTTTCAACTGTGTCAGAGATGAGAATGGCACATGATTCTGATCTGTTGTTCACAGTGTTACTATGAGTCGTACTTGACTCAATGGAACTTAACAATAAGAAGTACTGATTCCTGGGGTTTCTGGTGGGGTACTGATAGTTGTGCTGTCAATGCAAATGCAAGTTGCTCAAATCCACCAGCTGCCACTTGGGGAAAACTTAGGCATTCTCTTCCTGTGCACTTTATAGCCTCTGAAAACTCACTTGAGGGTCTGCTATGAGTCAGTTCTGACTCAACTGCACATAACAACAATAGCATCTATTCAAGCCCCCCCTCCACATCACCCTGTGTACAAAACTACAGACTTCCACTGCCTTGGTATTTTGTGATTTGGTTATTTAGATTTGGGGCTTTTGGTTAGTGATGTTTTATTTGGCTTATTCTTGAGTCCCCCCCCCTCCTTTGGTGGAAGGAAGGACTACATGATGTCAGCTACCCCTCATGGACTTCCCAGGAGCAGGAGGTATTGGGTGTATGTAGTCTACACGTGGAGTACAATTCAACTGTCACTTTCTAATGAACAGATTTTACACTGACAGATTTTCTAAATAGAACAGTTACTACTGCAACCAGTCACAGGCAAAAGCAGAACTTCCTTTTTTTATACCTGTACTCTTCAAATTGTGCTCACTGCATATTTACCTATATTTTCCTTCCACCTTTCACCTGGACCCCACCAGTCATACAATGCCTTAAATCACTTCAAGGGTATCAGAAGGACAACATTGGCTGTAAAGTGTGGATCAGAATGATTTTAAATACAGAAATGGCACTAAGAATGTAATCATGAGCAGGTGTTTCAAATGGCCTCCTGCAAAAAAGTAATATCCATCCATCCCAGCACTAATGAAATCATAAAGAAGCAGCCTTCACAAGATGATGGTTTACTTAAAAAGCTTGTAAAACTGGATGTAGTGAAGAGTCCCTTAAAAGAATGCTACACTTGGCTAATTAATAACAAGTATAGTTTGTGTGTCCTAACACGGGAGGGGGGGGAACCCAACCGTCAAAAGATGTTGATAGTGGTGTATTTAATAAATTGAGATGCCAGCTGAGAAGGGTGAAATTTGGCATTTTAAATTGTATCACTGTCCATGGTGGGGAAAAAGGCAATGGGGAGGTAGTTTTTTTAAGATGACACTATGAATGCAGCAAACTGGAAAGTGAAGAGTGAGAAATAGGTTAAGAGTTTTTATCTGAGGAGATTGGAGAATGCCTGTCTGTAGTAGGGTGATTGGTATCCATGAGAATCACAACGTCTGCTTCTTGGACATACAGATAAATGAATGAATGGATGGACAGATAGATGGTTGTATTAGATTCATAGGGCACAAAAAAAAAAATTCAGAGATGCATTGAATCCACTCCATAGCTTCTGTGAGTGCCCTTCATTTTCCTTGATTCAAAGTTTATCGGGCTTCCTCAAGTCCTCTCAAAGGCAGTACTAATGGATGTACCGGATTCTTAAAACTACTGTTATTTCCGTCTACCAAAGCACGTCTGCATACAGCAGTTTCATCATCTGGTGCTGAGAAGGAGCTGCAAAGGGCAGGACATCTGAACTTTGGCCTTTGCTCTTTAGTCAAGTGAAAGCTGTAAAAGCAAGAGGAAGCCCCAGTCTCTCACTCTCTCAACCTGTGGAAAAGATTCATCAACCAACTCCAAGGTAAATCGCAGCAGTATAAAAGGGTGGCCCTCAAATAAATTTCCCTATCACTAAATATAAGGCTTCATACCTGAAGTATAAACATTGAAGGAAAGCCAGCATTGTCAAAAACTGAACACATTGAAAATAGGATTGACATTTGAAACAAGATAGAAAATGTGGTGGAGTTGGAAGAAAGAAACCAAAACAAATTCACAGTTACAGTAATAATGTCAACCAATGAAAATGATTCGCCTACCATGTTCCAGATAAGAGGGCGTACCTTCCGAGGGGTCAAGCCTCCGAGCCCTCCGCCCATGCTTGGAGTTATTATGGACAAACATGTTATCAGAGACTGCCAGGACATGGCCATCCACGTTGACTGTTGTAGACACCACGACCTGGAGATAGAAGAGAGGAATGAATGAACATTTTAATATAAAAGCATGGAGGGTAATAAACTCAAGTTAAATAAATAACAGCTGGGAGCTGAAGAAAATTGCATAGCTATTTCACATAATAACTGGTGCTTACGCTGTACAAGTCTAACAAGAGAAGCTATTGATGAGTGGGTCTTTGGCATGGAACGCTTTTGATGCAGTTTTAAGTAAAATTGCACAGTTTATAGTTATACAGCAGAAGGTACACTGTTAACCATAATTTTAACAAGAGGATCTTTATTAGCATATTTTTTTTACACAAGGGTGGTTGTGTTTCACCTAAATTACCCTTCAGTTTAGACACTGAAGCAGATATCACAGTTGATCATGCAAATAAAAATCTTTTGAATCTTTAAAATATCCCCCCCCACTGTGTCAGGGTTAAGAGGATAGAGAAATAAAAGGGGGAGGCTTCCAGGAGAGCTGGGATGCAGCTCTCTCTCTCTCTTAGGTGCCTTTTTGAGGTTTCTTGTTCATTTTTGCTCCTATATTAGCTTTGATCCATCAACCAAGCCCCCCCCATCATCACCGTCACAACCCACACCACCACTCTTAAAAGAAAAAAAACCAAAAAAATCCCCACTAAGTGTCTTCAGTCTGTGTTTCAAAGCACTGGCCCACGCTATGCCTCAGACACCTGGGTCATCTCATAAAGTGACTCTAAACTTGGTTTGTCGGAAAAGACACGGGCAAAGGTGTTGGCTCACAGAACTTTGACTAAAACAATGAGAAGAAATGACCTACACTTCTCCTTATATTAAATGGGGTAGGGGATTAAAACTGAAACCCACAGAGATATGTTTATTCATGCGACCTCTTACAACCAAATATAATAATTGTCTGTAATTGCAGCTTCAGCTCCCACCTCATGCTTTGACACGGGGAAACAGCAATCAGCCAGCTCCCGTTTAATCCACCTATTATGTTGACTAATTAACTTTGCTCGACAGTTTATTTCTTCCTCCATTATCAGCCCCTGTCAGCCGCAAGCACCCTGCAGCATAGGGGGGACCTCAGGCTCTTTGATTGATCACTGATAGATTGACATGCAGATTAATTTAATTAGAATCACCTCACTTGAGAAATGAAAGACAATGGCAAGAGGGCTAATAGATCTGCTCTCATAATGAGGCGAGCCTCCAGAGCGAAGGCTGAGGATTTCTGATTTATTTTGCTCAATTCCCCAGTTGCTTGGAAAGATTCTTGCTTTAATTGTTCTTGGTTTTGAGAGGCATTAGCCTCTGAAGAGGTGAAACGCTTTACAAGGATTGGCACACATGGCGGTCTCAGCCTCTAAGGAAGACTTTTCTCTGAGTTGGCCAAAGGGGCACTGATTCTTATGGAGTCTTGGGCAATGCTGCCGTTTCATTAGCCAAGCCAGAGCAAAGGGGAAAATTCTAAGCTTTGGTCTATGCCTGTGCATTGCCAGTCCTGCTGGGCAAAGTCTACAGCTCCACGGACCCCCAACCATGTTTGCCACTCTTAAAACTACCACTGCCTCCCCTCTTTGACCCAAACACATTCTGGTTGAAAATGATGACTTTTGCTTCTCATGTCTCAACAACAGTGACTCATTGTGGCCTGGGGAAGCACGCATTGCTCATGGTCCTTCCTGCGAAGCTGATTTTCTTCTCTAAAATCTAATTTATTAAAATGCAGAGGAAATGACTGAGAGTCTGTTCAGAACGCAGGGGATTCTGCTTCATCAGTGTGAAACCTAAACTTCCAGTGAGAGGAAAGTGTGAAGAGGCCGTTTGCTAAGCAGTTTTTCTCTCTATTCAACATTGACTATCCAAGTCTGACACAGCCTGAAACTGATTTGTATGCCTGATCAATTGTAGGTTAATTTAAAAGGAGGAGGAAAAAGAGGGTGGTGAAGATTTTCATCTTATTAAAAATCTTAAAATGGTCTCTTATTTTCACAAAGTGGTATGTACCATACATGGCAGTCTCTCTTATTTAAGGAAACAGAAACTTGCTTTTCTTTTAAGTTAGGAAGATTACTTTGTGCAACATTTGTAATTATATAACAGGACTAAGTCTTTCAAAGAAATTTTGATTTACTACGAGACCACAATTGAGTGGTCACTGGAGACGTTAGCTGAAGAAACTATAAAAGGAATCCTAAACCGTATCTGTTTCCAGTGTCAGGAAATACACAAAGTGGTTATTCTAGATGTCTGTCTTTTTCTTTTTCTTTTTTTTTTAAAAAAAAAAAGCAATGACAATTCACCGTGCACCTGTAAGACACAGCACTGCAGGTTCTGAAGGCTTCAAATAGTATGTTTTAAAGACACTGTCATCTAATTCCTACATCCAATAAAAGCATCAAATACAGTTAATGGAAAAAGAACTTCGGTAAGAGAAGAATCCACATGTGTGATAAACTCATTTAACTAAAAGGTTCATCAAACTAGAGATAGTATAATACTAGAGAATGCTATTCCTTTCCATTCCTAAAAAATAAAATACCCAAATTGCTCAAAATGCCCAGAGATGCCACAGAATAAAGACCTGGCAACCTAATACCCAAAGACGAGGCACTTAAAATTCTATTGAGCACTGTTCTATTCTGAAACACCAGTATTTATTATGACTCAGGGCCAGTCTGATGGCAAGAGGTATGTTCCTCAAAAACTCATAATGTAATTCATTTCCTTACCCCAAAATAATTTCTCTGATCCCAATTTGGAAATAATTAGGATATATTGAGATAAAACACATAATGAAATTAAATGGCAGAGTAAATTATACCTTTAAAATTAATCTAACTGTGAGATGCAAAGGGAATACTGAACTGGCCTTTAAAAACAAGTCCATCCTTGGAGATAGAAGGGCCTTTACAGTTGAATATGAGATCAATGCGTTGCTGACGCATCCATGCAGGCAAGGGGACAGCCAGGTCTGCCAAACTGTCAACCTTCCCAAATTTTGTCAACAAAACACAGTTTGAATTTGAGATAGATAAACATGCAAATTAATGTTACCATTTTATTCAACCACCCCGTACCCTCCTAACTGCCTTCTTCACTCTCATGCCCAGGGAAAGAGATGGAAAGGGTATGAAGAATCAGGATATTTCAAATTTTATGATATCTGCTGGAATTAGATCTTTACAGTCCAGAACAGAGCTATCTGTTATAGTAGACAAACAAGCTTTATTTAAATTTTTAATTAATTTAAATTAAATAAACTAAAAAGAATTCTATTCCTTAATCTCAATAGTCACATTTCAAATGCTCAGTCACTCATGTGCCTGGCTGGTGACTACTGTGCTGGGAAGTGCAGATACAGAACATTCTCATAACTGCACAATGTTCTCCTGGGTAGCACTGCTCTAGAATGGTTTTGAAGTAAATTATCCCAATTTATTCATGAAGATTCTTTAGGTAGTAGCTCCTGAAAGAAATATTCGCTACATGGGGAGATTTAAAGCGCTGTACATATATATTTTTATCACTATGTTTACTGGGATCACATTTGGACTTGAGGGCTTTATTATTATTATTATTATTTTATACTGGTTTACTTACAAAGGTTTTCTTTTATTAATTTTATTAAACATTTACAGAGACTTAGGATTTCCAGTCATTCATTGTTGCATTTTTCTCCCTGTCCATTCCCTTCCCCCAATTCACTCTTATCCTTGAAAAGTAAAAGAAAAACTTTTTTCATTGTTATGCAATCCCTCCCCCCAGGTTCACTCCACTGTGCAACCTTCATTCTGGACTCCTGTCATGACAATAATATCCAATCATATATCCCCAGTTCTCTTCCTCATCTGTTTCAATGCAGTATACATCTTTCCTCCCCTCCTTCTCTGTCTTCCCTCAACCCTGAGGTCAGTCCTGCTTTACAACAGTGGTACCATGCGGTATTTGTCCTCTTGTGACTGAGATACTTCACTCAACATAATGTCCTCCAGGGTCACCTATTTTGCATAATATTTCATGAGTTCCATGTTTTTCAATGTTGCATAGTATTCCAATGTGTGAATATACTACAGCTTCTCTATCCATTTGTTTATTGATGGGCACTTGGGTTGTTTTCAGCTTTTTGCTACTGCAAACAAAGCCGCAATAAACATGGTTGTGCATCTATCTGCTTGGGTAGCGGTTATGGTTTCTTTAAGGTAAATTCCCAGTAGTGGAATTGCTGGGTCAAATGGTATTTCTATTTGCAACTTTTTGAGAAAGCGCCATACTGCCTTCCACAGTGGTTGCAACATTTTACACTTCCACCAACAGTGAATAAGGGTTCAAGTTTCTCCACAAACTTTCCAACATTTGATGTTTCCTGTTCTGTTAAATTTTGCTATTCTGACTGGTGTGAGATGATATCTCATAGTTGTTTAGATTTGCATCTCTCTTAGAGCTAGGAATTTTGAACAGTTCTTCATGTGTTTGTTTGCCATCTGAATGTCTTCTTTGGTGAAGTGTCTGTTCATATCCTGTGCCCATTTTTCAATTGAGTTATTTACCTTTATCTTATTGTGGTGCTCAAGTATTTTATAAATTCTAGATATAAGTCCCTTGTCTCACATGTCATTACCAAATATTTTTACCCAATCAGTGGCTTCCTGTTAGTTGACCAATTCAGCAAAGTGGCAGGATATAAGATCAACATATACAAATCAATTGGCTTTGGCAACAGTGACCAAAAAAAAGTAGAACTGGAGCTGAGAAAAACAGTACCCTTCACAATGGCTAATCACAAGATTAAATACTTAGAAGTAAGCCTAACAAGAAGCACACATTATCTATTCAAAGAAAATTACAAAACATTATTACAAGAACAAAAGAGACCTGGAGAGGTGGAAGAATATCCCTTGCTCATGGAAAGGGAGACTCAATATTGTGAAAACGACAGTACTACCAAAGGCAATTTACACGTTCAATGCAATCCCAATACAAGCACCAATTCCATTTTTCAACAAGATGGAAAAGGCAATCTCCAATTTC